GTTCGAATCCCCGAGCTGACAAGGTGAAAAAAATCTGTCTGTGCCCTTGAGCAAGGCACTTAACCTTAATTACTCCAGGGTTGCCGTTGATAATGGCAGACCCTGGCCGTGACCCCAACTCTGAGGGTGTGTCAGGGGGATTTGGGATATGCAAAAACACATTTCCAATTCACATGTATGCATATAATACACATTGTACATGTGTGAAATAGGACAAATATTAGCACCCACCAAATTACTATTGTTATACACACACACACGCCCCTTTCTGTTTCTGCAGTGGATGCAGACAAAGGGTGTCTGTGTTGTCTAGCATCCTTTCTCCTTGCTTCTCTATAGATTGTCTGCATGTGAATTTGATTATTGCTGTGTTGTAGAGGTGGAGTGTTTCAGGCTGATTCTCTATAAGCCTATGGGATGATAACTGCATCTGGATGTCAGGATTCTTGACTTCCAGCCATGGACAGACTGAGTCGGACACTCCCTTCTGTCTCTTTCTCCCACCCTGTCTCTAATGTCCCAGTGATGGGCCCCTCCCTCGTGATTGCAAAACAATGTCCAGACATCAGGAATGCTCCCATAAAGCCAAATGAGTAGAAACAGTTAGGGTTTTCTTGTAGATTCCCAGTGTTTGGCCAAATCTCTCATTTGTTTGTTAGTAAGACAATGTGTTCATTGGGTACCATTTATTGAATGTAGCCTAATATTTGCTACCAGCACCAGACCTGTTTGTTGTCTATGGTGCATAGGGGATCTGAAAAGTCTTTATTTTTAGGTGTACCTCTCTAAGTGTCCTTAGAGGAATCATGCTGTGGAGATTCACTCGTTAGCAACCTGCCAAATTCAATTAGGCTGCAGCCCAGCTCCCTGTTCCCAGCTCCACTTGGCCTGCTAGTTAGTCCAGCTCCCTGTTCCCAGCTCCACTTGGCCTGCTAGTTAGTCCAGCTCCCTGTTCCCAGCTCCACTTGGCCTGCTAGTTAGTCCAGCTCCCTGTTCCCAGCTCCACTTGGCCTGCTAGTTAGTCCAGCTCCCTGTTCCCAGCTCCACTTGGCCTGCTAGTTAGTCCTCACTGGGTGGATTGTTCGTAGTGCCACCATGTTCCTCTGTGGGCTGGTTCAGCTTGGTTCTGTAAGATGATTGAACATGGCACTGTATGCATCAACGCGTGCACTGCTGCATTATTCAACACATTTTTCAGTGTGTTTTCAGGGCAACTCGCTAGCATTAATTTCAACTAGTTAAATATGCCAAAGCATTACTTTTTCACATCCAGACCCTCATACAGTGCATTCAGAAAGTATTCAGACCCCTTGACTTTTTCCACATTTTGTTACATTACAGCCTTATTCTAAAATGGATTAAATCGTTTTTTTCCCCCCTCATCAATCTACACACAATACCCCATAAAGACAAAACAGGTTTCTAGAAATTTTTGCAAATGAATAAAAATAAAAAAATATCACATTTCCGTAAGTATTCAGACCCTTTACTGAGTACTTTGTTGAAACACCTTTGGCAGTGATTACAGTCTCAAGTCTTCTTGGGTATGACGCTACAAGCTTGGCACACATTCTTCTCTGCAGATCCTCTCAAGCTCTGTCAGGTTGGATGGGGAGCGTCGCTGCACAGCTATTTTCAGGTCTCCAGAGATGTTAGAACGGGTAAGTCTGGGCTCTGGCTGGGCCACTCATGGACATTCAGAGACTTGTCCCGAAGCCACTCCTGTGTTGTCTTGGCTGTGGGTTTAGGGTCGTTGTCCTGTTGGAAGGTGAACCTTAGCCCCAGTCTGAGGTCCTGAGCGCTGTGGAGCAGGTTTTCATCAAGGATCTCTCTGTTCTTTGCTCCATTCATCTTTCCCTCAATCCTGAGTAGCCTCCCAGTTCCTGCCGCTGAAAAACATCCCCACAGCATGATGTTGCCACCACCATGCTTCACCGTAGGGATGGTACCAGGTTTCCTCCAGACGTGACGCTTGACATTCAGGCCAAAGAGTTCAATCTTGGTTTCATCAGACCAGAGAATCTTGTTTCTCATGGTCTGAGAGTCCTTTAGGTGCCTTTTGGCAAACTCCAAGCGGGCTGTCATGTGCCTTTTACTGAGGAGTGGCTTCCGTCCGGCCACTCTACCATAAAGGCCTGATTGGTGGAGTGCTGCAGAGATGGCTGTCCTTCTGGAAGGTTCTCCCGTCTCCACAGAGGAACTATGGAGCTCTGTCAAAATGACCATTGGGTTCTTGGTCACCTCCCTGACCAAGACACTTCTCCCCGATTACTCAGTTTGGTCGGGGGGGCAGCTCTAGGAAGAGTCTTGATGGTTCAAAATGTATTTCATTTAAGAATGATGGAGGCCACTGTGTTCTTGGGGACCTTCAATGCGGCAGACATTTTTTGGTACCCTTCCCCAGATCTGTGCCTCGACACAATCCTGTCTCGGAGCTCTACAGACAATTCCTTCGACCTCATGGCTTGGTTTTTGCTCTGACATGCGCTGTCAACTGTGGGACCTTATATAGACAGGTGTGTGCCTTTCCAAATCATGTCCAATCAATTGAAGTTACCACAGGTGGACTCCAATCAAGTTGTAGAAACATCTCAAGGATGATCAATGGAAACAGGATGCACCTGAGCTCAATTTCGAGTCTCATAGCAAAGGGTCTGTATACTTATGTAAATATGATATTTCAGTTTATTTTTACTACATTTGCAAAAAAATCTAAACCTGTTTTTGCTTTGTCATTACGGGGTATTGTGTGTGGATTGAGGATTTGTATTTATTTAATCAGTTTTAGAATAAGGCTGTAACGTAACAAAATGTGGAAAAAGGAAAGGGGTCTGAATACTTTCTGAATGCATGTAATACCAAAAATGTCCCCCCCCCCCCCCCCTCCCATTGTAGTCTATGCCCTAAAGTCAAAGCTTGGCATGCATAAGCAGGTGTGTAGAATGTGTACACAACCACTGTCATAACATTTAAGTAAACTCATTTGACCTGCTTGGCGTGTGATTGCAAATGAGGCAATACTATTGCTGTGGCCTCCTCTCTGCAGTTTTGAGGCTAAAGCTGACAGGGCAAGGCCCTTGGTCCTGAAGTGCCCTCTGTTAGCATGCTAATGACTGATCTAATTGACCTGCACTGTAGAGCGGGGCCAATGGAAGAATCCTAATGAGCTCAACCTCTCTGCCGACTGCCCCACCCTGCACAGGTAACCACAAGTTCGTTTTCATGGAGCATCGTGCCGGTAACGACAGCCCTCTGGAGGGAGCAGCTCTCTCAACAGCACTGTGGGGCTTTGGGTGGTGTGTTTACCTCACCTCTAGTTGAACCTAGCGTAAATAGCTCTGACTTTTTGAAGAGGCTGTAAGAGACCTTTTAAGCCTAAATGGATGGAATGTATAAGACCTGAAGTTTTATGGAGCCTTTTGTCTGCGACTGTGCTTTTACAGCCGCCAATGAGATTACTTTGCTGTACTCGTTCCATTGAGATGTAGCTGTCAAACATTTTAATAGGAATTACGTGACTTGCAGCAGGCGCCAGTAATTCAGATTAGGACTTTGTCTGCTTGTGCTGCGGTCTCTGTCAGACACTGCTCAGGCTAGGGCACAGACAGTTTCATTACATTTGCACTGAAACCCGAGCTTCAATTGGAAGCACCTGAAATCTCCTGCCTAATGGGCGAACGTATTTATTATTTTACAGTGCTGCCTGCTTTGCTGCCTAATGCACTCCAAGGCAATGGCTTCCGCATGATCAATAGTGAACATGAAATCCATTTTGCTGTGTGCCTACAATCCTTAGCGACTGTTGACCAGTCAGTACTGAAGTGCTTTAGTAGAGGAGATTGCCCTGAAATGAACATTGATCCTCCCCATCGGGCTTCTGTTTAGAAACTGAGTTCCTGTCCTGATTGTTTAATATGTAGTGCAGAATGGCGTGCCACGGGAGGAAAATGCAAGGTCATGTGTAAAGAGGTGAATTTAAAGCCAAACAAAGGCAGCACCTTGGACACACATCTCAGAATCCACCTGGTGCCAAATCATGTCTCTCAGGGCCACACCCCTCCTGCAACTAGGATGTTGCAGCCTCCAAGCTGATAGTATGTTGCTAACAGTCTTTCTTTTCTCTCTCGCTCTCTCACACTCTGCAGACGATCTAATGTAACAGTGTTTATTGTCAGGGGGGGGGTGGGAAGAGGCATTCAAAAAGCCTCAACAGTTTCCTTCTGGGGAGTGACTGATAATACCAGCATACCTTAAATATCTCCGCTGTCCCAAGGAGGGGAAGCACAAATGCACAGCCTTCTTTTCATCCCCCTCTGTCTAGAATGCTGTGTCGTTGTCCTTTGTGGACTTTATATGGTTATTGTCCCTCAGGCCGAGGCAATGTGTTGCCCCGAGGAGGTAGTGTGGTAGAGTTCGCCCACTTTGTCCACACTGCAATTCATCCCAAATAGCTCCCTCATTCCACGAGTGTCAAAGGACCAGTAATATGCAATGCTCACGCAATCCATGGGCTTCTGTGGGGATTTTCCTGTAATGCCTATACTGTCTAGTTCTGCTGTGCAGGCGAATACAGGGCCAGTTGGAGAGAGCTGCCAAGCTGTCCCAAACGGCTGCATATCTGTCGGTCTGTCTGCAGGGCAAATTGCAGCTCACACCCAAGAGATGCCCTGGAGGAGTGCGTTCTCTAGAGTTTTCTGACACTTTCCACACACAACCATACAATTGTTGCATTCATGATCCACGTAAATGAACCTCCACGTAAATTAACCCTGTCGTAACGAACAGTGAAAGATGAATTGTGTAATTTTAAGGTTTTGTAATAAGTTTTTTCCGTTAAATGAAATACATTGGGGATTGATGGATGGTAAAAATATTTATTACGAGTCCAATTCTCTAAATAATCTGCCTCGCTTATATTGTAGGTCGCTATTTTTTAATGTCAACTGTTCTTAGTGATTAGTGACATGGTTTTCATTCTCTTCTCTTTGTTCTTTCCTCTCTGCAGAAACGGGCGAAAGGCCAGTACCTGTTCTTTAAAGTGTACGAAGCCCTGAACCTACTGGAGAAGGACTACTTTGGGTTGAGTTACAAAGACAACGCTGACCAGACGGTAAAGTCATTGTGTTTTTAACCACATTCTTCTATGGTGAGATCTGAAGGCCTGCTTTAAGAGAATAATCTGGCTTTTCCAGAACAGGAAAGACATTAGAAATGCAAACGTATCTTCTACATGCCCTCAGATCCACTTTTGAGGGAATGTTTTCTTTCTAAAGTACCAGTACCTTTACTAGGCCTAACTACACTGAACAAAAATATAAACGCAATGTGCAACAATTTCAACGATTTTACTGAGTTAAAGTTCATGTAAGGAAATCAGTCAATTGAAATAAATTCATTAGGCCCTAATCTATGGATTTCACATGACTGGGAATACAGATATGCATCTGTTGGTCACAGGTACCTTAAAAAAAAGTTAGGGGCGTGGATCAGAAAACCCGTCAGTATCTGGTGTGACCACCATTTGCCTCATCCGGCGCGACACATCTCCTTCGCATAGAGTTGATCAGGCTGTTGATTGTGGTCTGTGGAATGTCGTCCCACTCCTCTTCAATGGCTGTGCGAAGTCGCTGGATATTGGCAGGATCTGGAACACGCTGTCGTACACGTCGATCCAGAGCATCTCAAACATGCTCAATTGGTGGCATGTCTGAGTATGCAGACCATGGAAGAACTGGGACCAGGAATTATGTACAGATCCTTGCAACATGGGGCCGTGCATTAACATGCTGAAACATGAGGTGATGGCGGCGGATGAATGTGACGACAATGGGCCTCAGGATCTCGTCACGGTATCTCTGTGCATTCAAATTGCTGAAGTCCTTTACGACACCATACTGCAATCAAGTCAAGACCCTGGTGAGGACGATGAGCACGCAGATGAGCTTCCCTGAGACGGTTTCTGACAGTTTGTGCAGAAATTCTTCGGTTGTGCAAACCCACAGTTTCATCAGCTGTCCGGGTGGTTGGTCTCAGACGATCCCGCAGGTGAAGAAGCCGGTTGTGGAGGTCCTGGGGTGGCGTGGTTACACGTGGTCTGCGGTTGTGAGGCCGGTCGGACATACTGCCAAATTCATTAAAACAACGTTTGAGGCGGCTTATGCTAGAGAAATTAACATTAAATTATCTGGCAACAGCTTTGGTGGACATTCCTGCAGTCAGCATGCCAATTTGCACGCTCCCTCAACTTGAAACATCTGTGGCATTGTGTTGTGTGACACAACTGCACATTTCAGTGGCCATTTCTTGTCCCCAGCACAAGGTGCACCTGTGTAATGATCATGCTGTTTAATCAGCTTCTTGATATGCCACACCTGTCAGGTAGATGGATTATCTTGGCAAAGGAGAAATGCTCACTAACAGGGATGTAAACTAATTTGTGTACAACATTTGAAAGAAATTCGTTTTTTGTGCGTTTGGGTAATTTCTTGGATGATTTATTTCAGCTCATGAAACATGGGACCAACACTTTACATGTTGTGTTTATATTTTTGATCAGTGTACTTCCTAAAATGTATCATGTAATAACCTCTCTCCCAATGGCACAGATGTTTTTGCATTTATGTCCTAAAACTTTTTATATCGTTCTTCTAATTGTATAATTAGCTAGACTTTTATTCTGCTACAAAAGTTGCAATGACTAATGGTTTGACCACATAATATCCCTCTCATGATCAATAGGAGTTGTTTAGACATTCCAAACGGTTTAGCGAGCCTGATGGACCATATAATTGATAGATGAAGGGACGTTTTGACAAATGCCTGAATGAATCAAGTGATTCATAAAAGTCAGATGGATGATAAAGTACTTCCCTGTGTGCTAAAGCCAGCCCATCCTCATAGGAATGTCTGAAGTGTGCAGTAAACCTCCAGAGAACCCAGATATGCTTCCAGGAAATAACATCAGTTATTTTCCAGATCTGTGTCAACATGGTTTATTGGGAAGCTCTCTAATATCACTGGTTGGAGACAGAGGTTCCGCTCGCAAACTTCAGTCCATACTAACTCTGCTCTGCTCTCCCCCACTGCCAACCAAGCAGGCCTGGTTCACAGACCCATATCCTTCTCTCACATTGCCTGTCTGTATTCTTATGGCTTTGGCCATGAACGTTAAAGTCTCCCCTGCACACTGTAACTGGAGCATAATAACAGAGTCAACACGCTCCCCAGTCTGTCTACAGGCTCAACATCAGTCATTGAGGGAGACTGTTGGGAGAGAGATCAGCATATTTGCGGTGGGGCTGCATGCAGAGTTTGGTTCCACGTTGACACTGGAAACTGCAGGCTAGCCAGGGGGGGGCGGGGGGAGAGGAGGGAAGAGGCTGTATAATACAGACTAGTGTAGTTCAGTGGAATGTGTTTTCATCATGTGTGTTTGTTTATATAAAAGTGGATCATACCAGTAATGACAATCATGGCTAGTTTTGTTGTGTCTGGAGTGGTCTGGATTGGTGCTAAATTGACAGTTTTGCTCTTTACAGCAGCTCTGTGCCTAATGCTTCCATCTGTGCCTTGTTTTTGATGATGCTTGTCTTGACATACCTGATCTACTACAGTACATGAGAAGGGAAATAAAAAGGAAGGCCTGGTGTATTTACTTAGAAACGGCACAGTGTTCTATGTTTAGATGCTGTATCTTGCCAATATTGACGTTTTCACAATCAAAGTCCCACCTGCATTTTTCTAACATGAGTTACCAATCACCATGGTTACTCAACAGGGAAACTATGATGTTTGTGGTTAACTGCTAGAAGTAATAATAAATAATAATATGCCATTTAACAGACTCTTTTATCCAAAGCGACTTAGTCATGTGTGCATACATTTTTACGTATGGGTGGTCCCGGGGATCGAACCCACTACCCTGGCGTTACAAGCGCCGTGCTCTACCAATTGAGCTACAGAGGACCACATGGAAGTCTGATACTGTGTGTTTTTAAATTTCTGCATACTTGTTGAAACCAAAACTAATATCTCCTTTGTTTCTCAATATAGTGCTGGCTGGACCCTACAAAGGAGATCAAACGTCAGATCCGCAGTAAGTTGTGCTTTTTAACATTTTGAAACCTATTTCTGTATGAGGTTTCTCATTAAGTAACAGGGCCACCATGGTACACACTAAGTGGCTTTACTGTACGTACCAACCTAATGAATGGCTTCCACACTATACCCTGTTATTTCCCCTACCATTTTCTCCCCCATTCACTGTACTCTCTATTCTGATAGCCCTAATAACTAATGTAACTGTTGACATTTACTAGATCTTGAGCAGAGACACGTTTTTTAAAAATTTCTTCCTGGAGTGAGATGCTCTTTTCACATCTGGACATTGGATTGCAGTAATTCTGGATGGGGCTGGGGGAATGTGTTGGGTGGAGGGAGGCTGTGCTCTGCTGAACCTCTGGGCCAGGGCAGAGAGAAGGGAAGGGGGACGCTCACCACCCCCCAGTCTGATACTCCCAGAGCACTTAGCTTCCAGTAACACCGGCCAGAGTTGCACACACACAGTCACACCCCAGAGAGAATTCACTATGTAGCCATGGGAACGGCGGCTCTGAGCGGCGGTACGGTCTGTCCAGGGCCTGGGATGCGTTAAGAGCATAAAACGCCGTGCAGTACAGCCCCAGAGGCCTGCAACAGGCCTCTTCTGGTCCACCGACTCTTACAGTGGTCATTCTACCTGGCTGTCCAGGAGCCAAAGCTATGCCAATTTTCTAGCCTTATCTCTCAGTCTTGTTTGGACTGCTTCAGCACCTTGCGTCAATGAGTGAGAAACAGACATATGCCTTGTCTGTTAGCCACAGTTTGCTCCCTTCGAGATAAAGTCAGTATCTGGAGCGCAGGCTGATAAGGGAGGCCACTGTTAGACTGACTTGACTGATTCAGGTCAGTAGGCAGGCAGAGTTCACAGCCAGGCCTGTAACTGAAATCACTAGTGGTTTATGTTCCTAACTCACAGGTCACTGACTACCAGTGGGATCCAGTGAAATCATAGATATTGGCGCACTTTCTTTAACATATGTAATATTAAGATAATGGCCTGTGCTGTGCTTTGGCTGGTTGGGGTTTGAGCTCTCTCTCCTCAGAGACAGATGGAAAGACTTGGAGCGCAGCAGTGCGGAGGAAATTGCCCTGACATGAAGTCATCTTCTCTGGGATTTGAATTTTGTGCAGCTTGACTATGGACCTGATGTCACCCGTGGGTGGGCGAGACCTTTTTATTTGTTTCACTTATTGAACCTATTGTGTAGGATTTCACAGACCAATGGTGCATTGCTGGTGTATATGATTCTATGATATGGTACTCCCCATTTCATGCAATTTGCTGTGCCTGTTTACCCTGTAATAGTACTCTATGGTGTATGACTGGGGAATGGAGGCTATCACATCACATGAATTGAGGCCTCAGCTCAGACCCATTTATCTGCAGCTTGTGACTCCGACTGGAACGTTTCAAGGATAATTTAAAATTGGGAAAACGAGGCAGAGAGGAGCGGGAAACCGAAATCACCTGTGCCCCTGTCACACCACCACGGTTTACTTTTGGATGGTCATCTTTGTAAAAACGGTTACTTTTTATGAGTCTTTCCATGAATGCTCACTGGGAAAATGACCCTGATTTCCAAAGCAGCTTCTGTGTGCTAGAGAACATCAGATTTTTTTGCTCTCGATATTTGTCCTCTTTCACACCTGAAATACTACACTTAATGGGATCATTGAAGCTACTGCTCTGCAAAGTTTTCCTGCCACACACAAATACACACACACACACCAGAAAAACACAATGTTCCTGGACAGATCAAGTGGTATTAGGCCCTCTGAGACAGTCATGTGATTAGAGCTTCCCCCTCCCAGTAGCACCAGTGATTTAACCCTCCCCTCATTGATTGTGAAGGGTGATCGTCCAGACATGTGACTTGCTCTGAGCCAGCTGCCTTACATTCCAGTGTATCAGTCTTTAATCTGCCTCTAGCTTCCTCAAATGGTCACTGACCTCTTCGCTCAGTCCGGCTAAAGGACAACGGCTACAATATGACTACTGTTGGAACAGGAGAGGAACAGTGGCGCTTTAATTTGTGGGGTCATTTTTGGAATTCCTCTTTAACATATTTGACATTCTGTATCCCATGCCCAGGCTAAGTAAGCATGGGTGAATTTGGCCAGTTTTTCCTTCTCATGTCTTGTGGAAAATGAATATAAAGTAAGCATGTTTTGTATGATTTTCTATGAATTCTCAGTGTTGTGCAGACTTGAAAAGAGAAGAAGTGAATTCCTTCCCAAATGTAATTTTCTCCACACAGTCAGTGGAATTGTTTGCTTGCCTGGCTTTTCTTCCCAATGTTGGCTCTCACATGGCCTGGGATTATGGGAAGGATGAAAAGCAGAGCCCTTCGTTGCTGCAGCAAAATAAATGGTCCCCATGGGATCACTTCATGATTACTCTGTTCCAGCATACTGTGCAGACGAGACCAAGGACACTCACTCGCCTGCAGCTAAACAGACAGGACATTACTATCGCTCTCCACTGATAAGCAAACACAGAACCTCCATTTCATTATTTAATTATCCCTTTTCTGCATAAAAATCCATAATTCCTAATACGTTTCAGACCGTACATTTCAGGGAAACAGAGTAGGAAGACCATTAAGTCTTATGTCAGGACACGGTTGACATTTTGTTGTCAATTGAGCCGTTGTGTAACGTCCCTCGCCCAGATGAAAGAGAGGGAGAGCGATTGTCGTCATCATCCGTCTCTTCTCTTCCCGGGTGTAATCGGGCTAGCGCTAGCCCATACCTCTCTCGCTCTCGCTCTCAGCTAGCGGTTGCTAGGTGACAACCAGCCCTAGCCTAATGCTGACGAAGCTATAGGCATCGCCACATCAAGCCTGTGGTCTATGACTGGACACGCACACAGAGATGAGGCGATAGTGTGTATTAGCTCTGCTAATCCTGTCTCATCTCACATGGCGCTCTCTTATCGCTGACAACAGGAAGTGATACATGGAGCCTTGCAAAGGGCTCTTAAGCCCATCTGACCCCAACACTAGTAGGCTACTACTAGAAAGTAGGTTGCTTACTTAGAAGTTACTCCATATCATGATTACGTGTCAAGGATTTGTGGTTTTTTCTTTAATTTTATCAACCCATCCACCACCCCCCTTCAGAGGACACATCTTTTTAGTTTTTACATACTTTTTTGCTACATATATACATTTTACATTTCACACTTTACATATACATTTTCGATATACATTTTCCGTACATGGCACTTTTATATGCAGCGATCACATAACAATAAATCATTACCGAACATGAGCTCTTTAATCCCAACCCACAGCCACTCTCAGACCATCCCAACTATCACCGTAGACCGCCCTCGTTTGGTTTCCATGTGCCATATCTTTTTCAATTGTGATGTGAAGTTGATTGAAAACCGTTTGTGTTGTTGAACATGTTCTTCTGAAATGTACTGTGTTCTCCGCTAGCTGGTTGAATCTAAATCCAGCCCTTTTCTACTGATTTTAAATCCCCTCAGTGTGTCCAATGATGAATACCCAAAACAGAGAGTGAGCGGTATGTTGAAAGACCCTGTTTCTGCTCTGTCATTTTTGATGAGTCTGGGTGCCACGGTGCAGGAACAAATCAAAATGACTCTCACCAGGTCTTTCCAGGCTTGACAAAACTCCACTTCAAAGGGAAGACCTAAATTGCATACTCCTCACGTTGTCTCTCCTCGTCTCCTTCTCAAAACTGATTGGAGGAGAAAGACAGAGGTCCCGCCCCTCTGACCTTCTCCTCCAATGGGTTTTGAGAAGGAGACGAGGAGCGAGGATGCGAGGAGTATGCAATTGAGATCTTCCCAAAGCCTCTCCTCACGGGTCGTAGCTGTTGTGTAATTGCGTGCAGCTGCTACATCCTTCCCAGTGTGAGTTCTTGTTCTCTTTCCATCTCTCTGCCTGTCTCTTTTTCCCCCGCTCTCTGATTCCCTCTCCCCCACCACTCTTCTACACCACCTCATACACACACACACACACACACACACACACACACACACACACACACTCCTTACGGTCGATGAGCGCAGCTGTTGGGGCAGTGCCATATTTTTAGCAGTGTGTGTGTTCTTAGCACATCTGGTTCTTAGCACATCTGGCCTGGCATGCCACCATCGCTTGTTTTTCTGTGTTCATTATTTGACACTAAATGCATAATTTCCTTCCTCTACATACAAACGCTCACCCAAATGATTAGCTGATGTCAGTCCATCTTTGCTTGAACACGTGGCCTTGCGCCTTTAGAAATAATGATCATGTGTTATGATATTGTAGATCAAGTATTTATTTGACTCTTTTAATCAGATGAGTCCTGTCCTTTCTGTTTCCTTTCCACAGATGCCACCTGGCAGTTTGCGTTCAATGTCAAGTTCTACCCTCCGGATCCATCCCAGCTGACCGAGGATATTACCAGGTATTGTACTGTCGCTTTCATCAGGAAACAAAGAGGTCAAACAGCCACATCACACACTCCTTTGATTGTACATTTGAATGTTTGGCTTTATTATGTTAGTCATCAAGCAAAAAATGATCTGCCCAGTCGTGCAAACAAAGAATGCTTTAATGCCACACAGGTGGCCCGGAGCAGTCAACCTACAGTCTGTTAATACTTTACATTCACACTATTTGGACATCTTTCCAGAGAATATTGTACACTGGCTTTATGGGGGAAATGTAAATAGTTGTACTGTTATGGTATGTACCGTACATGTTGATTTTCGACCAGCATGCACATACAGAATGTAACTAAACACACACACATGCTAGCACTGTTATTCAATGTACACCCAGTCTATATAACCTATTCCAGATACAGTAAAGGCAAGTCCATTGCTGTACAGTAGTTGTACACTGCAGCAGCAACATGCATTAGACTCCTGGTTGATGAGGTCAGAAGAGCAGAGCACTGAGAGAATGGGAGGGGACGGTGGGTGGCCATTGATTGTTCAATATCCATGTGTTCCCCCAGCTTCCCAGTGTCTAATCATTCCCTGCGCTGAGCCCTCAGCCGGTGCCTAATCTAGCATAGAAGTGCCCTCTTTGATCGGCGCCCGTCAAAAGGTTGCAGCAATATCCAGTGCAGTGGAGCGGTCTTCAGCCTCCCGAGTTTAGTTTCAGCACAGCCCCAGGGCCAAGGTCACAGGCAATGGAGGGCAATCATCTGCACACACACCTACCTTCCTTTCCCTCTCGCAGTGTGCCGTTACCACATATGCTATTTCTGCTTCTGTGAGTCTGCAGGCTGCTGCACTACTATAACGTACAGGAAAACGCCCACGTACACACTACACTCCCAACACACAGCTTTCACATGCGTGTTATGTCAGAACTGAAGTAGTGGGCTAGTGTCATGAGAAATGTACAGACCAAATTTACAAAATGTATTTCATGCCTCAATGTGGTTATGGACTGTGACTCTCTCCCTCCACCCCTCCTCCTCATCCCATCTCTCTCTCTCTCGCCCCCCCCCCCCCCACCCTTTTATCGCATCTCTCCATCTCCCTGTAGATATCTCCTGTGCCTTCAGCTCCGGCAGGACATAGCGTCGGGGCGTCTGCCCTGCTCCTTCGTCACCCACTCCCTGCTGGGTTCCTACGCCCTGCAGGCTGAGCTGGGAGACCATGACTCCGGCGAGCACCGCCTCGACTACATCAGTGACTTCCAGTTTGCCCCCTCCCAGACCAAGGAGATGGAGGAGAAGGTGGTGGAGCTCCACAAAACTCACAGGTCAGGGCCGTGTGGGGTTAAAGGGATAGTTCAGCAATAACTATCCCTTTTAAATTAGCAAACGAGCAAGTGAAGATGATGCTGAAGTCATAGTTTTAGGGGAGATTAAATATAGCTGAAGGTGCCTCTTTAAAACCCAGGACTGGGGAGAGACACCTGTGTAGAAATTAGTTGGAAACGACCCCTGGACTGTACAGGTAATGTGATCATTATCATACTTTGAATTCCCAGTTTTCAGGACCTGACACTTCTCAGATCATTCAATTGAACTCTTCACCTCTGTGTTTGTTTACAATATTATTTATTTTTTTGTCTACTTGTCAAGGGGGATGACTCCTGCTCAAGCAGATGCCCAGTTCTTAGAAAACGCTAAGAAGTTGTCGATGTACGGTGTGGATCTCCACCATGCCAAGGTGACTAGCTGCCACAGACACCAGGTTTTGAAATGTCCAATTCAACCAGAAATTATGTTTAAGGAATCATTCCTGTGTTTATTTTTGGGGAAATGTGAGGAAATACATTTATATGTTTATAGAATGCCCTGCGATGAGAAAATGTGAAGCTGATAATGCTAGGAAAGATTAATGAACTGTAAGCTGTAGTGTGGCTATCCTCTGCACAAGGAGGCATAGCCTGCTGGTCAGTATCCAAACTTAGTCATTAGTCCCAGGAACTGTTCTCCTATGCTCCATTTGTTGTGTATGGAAGTCTGGAAGAAACGCCTGTGAGAGCACACAGGACTCAGGGAGGCTCCTTTGATGTGGTGTGCAGTGAGGGGAAGAGAAAGGGCACCGGAAAACACAAAGCCAAAGTATTTCAACTGGAAAAGAGAGTGGGCCCTACCACCGCATCAGCTGTACAAACACATGAGGTGGATTGGAGCCGGAGCTCTTTTCACTGGGCCATCGACATGGGACGTGGAATGATCCCTCGTCTCTCCACATGGACTGGACATGGGTTGAAAATACTCCGAGAAATGTTCTGCTGGTCCATAGAGAGGGAGAGGGGGAATGGGAGGGGGCGCGATAGGGGGGGAGAGAGGGGGTCAGTGACCTTTTTAGTTCATATCCCAACCGTCAGTGAGAAAAGTACCGCCTCGCTCTCTCTCTGAGTCTCTGTCTCTCTCTGTGTGTGTAGGCAGGGAAAGCAGGTCATGTGGAAAAGCATGCCAAGGACATACTTAGTGAGAGGGTTTGGTTAAAAGCCATGCATTGACATCTAATAGTGGCCATGCCCATCGGCGGGGAAGGATTTTCCTCCTTATTTTACAGTTGAATACCCAAATCAATAGTCACTCCGTATCTATCCATACAGCCTGGACTTAAAAGGCCTTTTATGGTGTCATGCAAGGTTGATAACAACGTTACCATTGAGTTATGGTGGGGTGATTGAATATCCGGCCTTATTCAGATGTATGTTATTGCTAATAATTCCATTGTGCGCCTTGGTGATATTCTAAATCTTCTGGGCTGAAATCTGAGAACGTTGTCTGTTCTCTATCCTTGTTGTCTGTACTGAATACCTGACTGTGTTTTCTCTTTATTGTACTTTGCTGAACTGTTGCTTTGGCTGGTGTCTTTGTCTGCAGGACTCTGAGGGAGTGGACATCATGTTGGGAGTGTGTGCCAACGGCCTGCTGATCTACAAAGACCGACTCCGGATAAACCGCTTCGCCTGGCCAAAAATCCTCAAGATCTCCTACAAACGCAGCAACTTCTATATCAAAATCAGGCCGGGAGAGGTACGGAACAGCACCGCCCTCAGAGGAAAGACTAGACATTTCCACATTTTGGAGTTGTCCTTTCGAAAGCCCACTCGAGAAGTCAGCCGTAGGAAGCAGACTCCTTCATTGAGCCAAATACTGACAGTGTTAGGAGATGGTTTGATTGTACAGATGGAAATGCTGACATTTAGATATTTTTTCTCAAGGCCCATTAAAACTAGTGTCTTGGAAGAAGGGATGGCGGTGGGGGGGTTGGGTCCATATCCCTGTCTTTTGTAGAGCATATGTTTTCTATCTAAGCTAGTCTCCAGTACTCAGGGGAACTCACCTCTATACTCTGTCTTCCAGACAGAGCAGTTTGAGAGTTCTGTGGGCTTCAAACTGCCCAACCACCGCGCTGCCAAGAGAGTCTGGAAGGTCTGCGTGGAGAATCACACTTTCTTCAGGTAACAGTCACACTGTCAGCATCCATGTCAACGACCCCTACAAACCCCTACATTTCTGTGTAACCTAATCCTGTTCACCTCTAACTCACTGCTTCAGACTCGAAAATATGTCTGAACCAGGAAGAACTAGTGTGTTAGGTCCTTTTGAAGTCTGTTGTTTTTGAATGATTGCACCATTCATTAAAATGTTCTGTTCCACCATCTACATGCCCTTTCTAACCTGTTGACTCTGTGAAATGTGTGTCTAAGCTAACACAGACAAAAAGGAGCCCATGTCAAACCCCAGTGGAGCATGTTGAATGGTGTTTCCCCCACAGTCTGAAGTGTGTACCAACTGGAGTGTGTAATTGGCCAGTCTCTAGGGAGCACTAGGTTCCTCCGATACTTCCTGTCCAGTGAAAAGACTGAGGAGACGGAGCACAGTGTAGTGGAGCATGGCCGTCGTGCACTTATTTGTTTAAGCAGCTTCTCTGTCCGAGGCCTAAAGCCATGGCCATTATCATGTGATTAAGCTGTCTCCTTAGCGTCCGCTCTGCAGGGCTGTATCATTAAGGAAGCAACTGTCCCCCCCCCCTGGGGATTTAAGAATGAGCAAACATTTAATATCCTGTAGGAAAGCAGAGTCCCTCAGAGACACTGATAGAGATGCGTGTTTCAACCGTAAAACCCCAACTTCTCCCTCCCAGATCAGCCCGTCCCTTGGGGGTTCATCTGTCTTGACGTCATTTGAAACGCAACTATGGTTGGAATCACCCCAGCAACGCGTCATGTTAAATACATCCCACCTGCTGCGCCTCGCATTGTTTGACAGTTTGTAAGAGGAGTGTCGGCCCACGAGAAATTGGAACCGGATTCGCCATGGAGATCCTCGGTTGTTTAATCGAGCTGTGTTGTTCTTGGCACAGATGACGAGGAGGGGAGCCACAGCCTCAACAAACGCAAAGCAAAAAATCACTTGCTGCCTTCCCTTCAACCCAACCACTAATAGCCAAAAGCCCTGTAGTGCCTCTCTCTCCTAACATTCAGATCATCTGTGTACTAAATCAACTCCTAGTAATGACTCTCCTTAAATTGTCAAGTTTTAATTAGAAGCCCCGCCTTCTACTTAATGGTCTTGTACACTGATATCAATACCAATAGCTTTAATCGCCCAGGTCATTATCGGTTTGGGCTAACGAGCTTGATCAAAGAGCGGCTTCTTTTGGACAGTGTTGTGAAGGCATGATGTCATGTCAGACCCAGGCCCTGGCTGGGCTGGGATGGAGAAGTCGTGCCGGGCTGCTGAGATCATGATGGAATCCACAGACACCCTGACACACCAGCAGCACGCCCAGGGCCAGCGTGTTTAAATGGGGTTGAAATCAGCTCTGGCCTCCACGCCCCTGGGTTAAACAACAGACCCCCGCCCCACTATGCCTGTATAAGAGCAGAAAGCAAGAGCCTTACTTTATGGACGCCACTGTGGCTAAACCTGACACCACTAGGACAATGCCAGAGACATCTGGACTGAATGCCGCCCCCCCCCCTCTCTCTCCCCTCTCCTCCAGCCTGCCGTCACCTCAGGCTGGGTACAGACCTGTTTGAAGGAACTTCTGCTCTGTAGGGGTTTGTGAAGGGGTGTGTGTGTGTGAGAGAGAGATGTCTGAATTAGGGGCCCTGCAAAGTGAATGGGGAGAGCTGGATGGGCAGGAAAGCCCTGTCGCCATGGGAGATTAAGGATAGGGGCAGGGATGTTTGTGACCACCCCTCCCCCACCCCCACCTCTGTCTCCCGATAATATTTAGTCCCAACCACAGCTGTTACTCAGAGCAGAGCCAGCTAAGGGGAAAAAGAGACTGCTAAATGTTCAGCGCCCAGTTTTAAGTGTTTTATAGCTATGTTTATTTACGGTCACTGACAAACAATGAGACTGTTGAATGGATCCCTTATACCTGAGTCTTCATGACTCATCCTAGTCCTCTCTATTAACACACAGAGATGTTTATCACTTTGGCTTCAGCGGTTGGCCCAGTTTACTGGCAGTAAATTGATTTTTCATGGGGAAAAAAATATAGTACTCTATCTACTCTCACTGTCTTCCAGTAAACTAAAATACGTTTTGCATACTGCCACTAAACTACTGGATATGAAAGGGTTTGTTTTCAGAATAGTATTGATCTTATTTTGGTCCTATTCTCGCTCCAGGTTGATGACTCCAGAAGCGCCCACTAAAGCCAAGTTCCTCACGCTGGGCTCCAAGTTCCGCTATAGTGGGCGCACCCAGGCCCAGACACGACAAGCCAGCACCCTCATCGACAGGCCGGCACCCTACTTCGAGCGCACCTCCAGCAAGCGCATCTCACGAAGCCTGGATGGAGGTAGGCCGTGGCACTAGACAACACACACACTTGGGATTTGGGAGGATTTATTACTCTGCCCACTACCTTGAACTATGGGCTCCACTGGTAATGAGTGTGAGTCAGTCCATAGCTATCTCTGCAGGAGGTGAGTAGAGTGTTACTCAGTGGCACATGGCCTCTAAACCCGGCCTACACAAGCAGTAGGTCTCTTTGTGACCATCAGAGAGCTCTGATTCAGTCCGCTCAGTGCAGACACCGTAGGGGGCCGTCACAGAACCACAGCCTACCTCAGCCTCGCCATCAAAGAGATGTTTAGAGAAACTGCTGGGGAAACACTCCAAACCGGAGAGAGGGAGGGAATGAAGGAGGGAAAGTAACAAAGGACCCACAGGATCAGAGGAAAACCATTACAGTGAGATGTACAAAAAGAAACACAACCCTGTTCAGATGTCTCTGTATGACAGCAATCCTCAACATGCCTCAGCATGCATTCTTTTCCCCTGCCAACCGGTAAAGTTTAGAGCACACTACACATCATCCTAGTTTGTTCAAACTGTCTTGTCAGCTGAACTAGGTTGGTCTTATGGACTATTAGGATATTTGTCTCTTCTAAGTGTTTAGAGCTGAGCTAGTGTCCTGTACAGTGTCAGCCAGTGAGTGTGTAGCTAGCTTACTTGACATATTCCCTCCCCATCATGGGCATTGGTTAGAAACAGGAAATGGCTCCAACATCTGTTTTCCTTTGTTGGGAACGCTGGGATTAATGACTGTGGATGAAACTGGACTCATTCTTCTTGACCAGGGGATTTCAAAGTGTTTATATTGCTGGACCCGGGCTGTATACATTACATTATACATTTAACATGGGAAAGAAACGGTGCCACTAAAGCATTTGCACGCATGAAGGATGTTGTCAGTCCAAGGCCCACGTGAACTATTAGGCCTATTTTCAACCATGAATGCGTTCTAGAAATTACTCTGAGCAAAACGACTGAAATGCAGTAGTACTGGACTGTAGCTCCCAAGCAGGAAGATGAAATGCAGGTGATGCTGTAGCTGAAAGTGTAGTAGTAATTCAACAGTAAATGTAAGCTTGAACATGTACAGTGGTTCCTGTGACAGAAAGATTAGCGTGTAATATTGACCGGTCAGCATTTTGCTTCCAACTACATCAGCACTAATCTAGGAGGAGAATACTAGCTAGAAGAACACGAATCACCAAATTAATGTTGATTACGCAATTGCTCTACGTTGCCATGAGTACCCTACAACAAGATTTAATGAGACAAAGGATTTAGCCTTTCTTCTTCTCTGTAGCTTGTCAATTTAGAGGTACTAGGATAACTAAATCAAATATCCCAAATACCCAGAGTGCACTAGGGCCACTCATTATTAAAGGGTTACTCTACTCAGTTCAGCTGTGGGCTAACCTGGCCTACTCTGGAATCTCCTTTCTTTGCTTCCTTCACTCCTTCTTTCCGTCCTGTATGTAGATCCTCTCCGAGGAGCCTCTTGATCATTCATCATCAATGCACTGCGCTATTATTTCCCTCTAGTCCCTCTGTAGTAGAGGAGGCGATCAAGAGAAGAGAGGGTGGGAACCATTTGTTCTCCATCTGGCCAACTGTAGTCTTCTCTCTGCTTTGATTGAGACAAAGACCCAGTAAGCCCCCAGAGCTTTAGAGACAGTCACAGCTGGTATGGGACCGGGACTGGGATTCTGAATGAGACAGGGCTAGATGAGGTGAATTTGGTTCTGGTTTCTGGATCAATTATTCTCTCTTCCCCCAACACATGGCACAACAATACAGGGAGTGGCGGCTGTGCTGTGGGTGGCACGGTCGGTTACAGATGATAGCAGGTTCCATATCACACAACCACCGTATCACACCACCACCATATCAAACCCTCGCATCTAAACCTCAAGAATCCATGACAGCACCACTCAGTCTGGTCTGCTTGTATCAGTGTGTGTGTTGGCACTGCTAAATACACTACTGTACACTACTGCTATTCATGACATGTCGATTACTGTAGTTTCACATAGATCTAGCATTTAGCCAAAGAACTGATGCTGTGTCATTTTCTCTAAGCTCTTTTCATCTGAATAGCTATTGAAAGTAGGCCTTATACTATACCAAAACGAATAGCCATGTCTGGTATGTACGATGAATCCATGCCCTCCTGGTCTTATGTCCTCCACAAAAGGCAGGGTAAAGAATCTTTCATATGAACCCGATTAAACTGTGCTCTGGGGTTAGAATTCCCTCTGCTGGCCAGGGCTGGGAATTGCCAGGGACCTCATGATACGAAATTATCACGATAGTTAGGTGCCAATATGATATGTATTGTGATTCTCACGATTCTATATGTATTGCGATTCGATACTGCGATTTTATTATATGCGATATGATGTTCCAAACATATTGCTCACTATGTCTGCTGCAGAGAGACGAGAGAGCATGTGAACATTTATTTTTATTAGTCATGGAAATAAAAGTGCTGAAAACATGTTGGGTCACTATATATATATATATATATATATATATATATATATATATATATATATATATATGTATGTATGTACTACCGTTCAAAAGTTTGGGGTCACTTACAAATGTCCTTGTTTTCGAAAGTAAAGCAATTTCTGTGTCCACCAGCTGCATTAAGTACTGCAGTGCATATCCTCCTCATGGACTGCACCAGATTTGCCAGTTCTTGCTGTGAGATGTTACCCCACTCTTCCACCAAGGCACCTGCAATTTCCCTGACATTTCTGGGGAGAATGGCCCTAGCCCTCACCCTCCGATCCAACAGGTCCCAGACGTGCTCAATGGGATTGAGATCCGGGCTCTACGCTGGCCATGGCAGAACACTGACATTCCTGTCTTGCAGGAAATCATGCACAGAACGAGCAGTATGGCTGGTGGCATTATCATGCTAGAGGGTCATGTCAGGATGAGCCTGCAGGAAGGTTACCACATGAGGGAGGAGGATGTCTTCCCTGTAATGCACAGCGTTGAGATTGCCTGCAATGACAACAAGCTCAGTCCGATGATGCTGTGACACACCGCCCCAGACCATGATGGACCCTCCACCTCCAAATCGATCCCGCTCCAGAGTACAGGCCTCGGTGTATCGCTCATTCCTTCGACGATAAACGCGAATCCGACCATCACCCCTAGGTGAGACAAAACCGCGACTCGTCAGTGAAGAGCATTTTTGCCAGTCCTGTCTGGTCCAGCGACGGTGGGTTTGTGCCCAGGCGACGTTGTTGCCGGTGATGTCTGGTGACGACCTGCCTTACAACAGGCCTACAAGCCCTCAGTCCAGCCTCTCTCAGCCTATTGCGGACAGTCTGAGCACTGATGGAGGGATTGTGCGTTCCTGGTGTAACTCGAGCAGTTGTTGTTGCCATCCTGTACCTGTCCCGCAGGTGTGATGTTCTGATGTACCAATCCTGTGCAGGTGTTACACGTGGTCTGCCACTGCGAGGACGATCAGCTGTCCGTCCTCTCTCCCTGTAGCGCTGTCTTAAGCGTCTCACAGTATGGACATTGCAATTTATTGCCCTGGCCACATCTGCAGTCCTCATGCCTCCTTGCAGCATGCCTAAGGCACGTTCACGCAGATGAGCAAGGACCCTGGGCATCTTTCTTTTGGTGTCTTTCAGAGTCAGTAGAAAGGCCTCTTTAGTGTCCTAAGTTTTCATAACTGTGACCTTAATTGCCTACCGTCTGTAAGCTGTTAGTGTCTTAACGACCGTTCCACAGGTGCATGTTCATTAATTGTTTATGGTTAATTGAACAAGCATGGGAAACAGTGTTTAAACCCTTTACAATGAAGATATTTTAAGTTATTTTGATTTTTATGAATTCTCTTTGAAAGACAGGGTCCTGAAAAAGGGACGTTCCTTTTTTTGCTGAGTTTATAAATTATATATATATATTTTAAAGATGGAGAACAAGCTATAGGATGAAAAATACCAGAGTTTTGGAGCAGGTATAGCCGACTAGTTTTAGCTAACGCTACCATATTGTGATATGTGACTATCGATAATTTTTTGTGTAGTTTTTTTATCACAAGTTTGACATTAGAATTAAGATGTGCTGAACTGAAGATCAATCTGAAGTATGGGTGAAAGAATGGAGAATATAATTGTTATATAAAGCTTGGATGTGTGTTGTCTCCTTTTTCCTCTCTAGCTCCAGTGATTAACGTGACTGAGGCCCAGGACTCAGGCCCCACCTCTGGGGAGAACGGCAGGGAGCCTGGCCTGGAATTCTCCTCTGACTCGAAGGTGAGAGAGGAGGGAGGGGAATGCTCTAACTCAATCTCTTCTCTTTCGAGGTAGAATCAAATATCCTGTTGTTGGATTGGTTATTAATTGTCTGTCTGTTCCTAATCTCATTTGTCTCAAAGAAATGCCCCCAAGGTTTCACTACAGGGAACTAAATTCATTGTATGTCTACTGTCTAGCTTAGAATAATTAGCCTATTGTTCTGTTTGTTAGATTGTATGGAAACCAACCAATATATTGACTTAGTCTTGGTACATTTGGTTTTGTCATGTCCCACGTCCCTCTTCTAAAGATCTACTGTGTAATGCGTTTCTTTGCGTTGTGAAAAATCGACCCAACAAACCCCCTCATTCAGCCTAGTAGTCAAACAACAGCCACTGTAGCAATGTAGAGTTTAATTGAATTCGCTAGAGCTATAGGATGCCATTTTGAACTGTCTGCTCCGTGCCCCTGCTAGTTATTATTCGAAGAGTTTAGGACTTGCTTGACATTTGGTAGCTGTATAAAGGATCTTATTCAGTCTTACAGTGAGTTGGCCATGAAAGCCATGTATTCAGGTCATTATGTAACCTGTGGTACTGAGAGCAAAGAATTCAGAGGCTCATCTCTTCAGTGATAAAGCCCAGCTCATTGGAGACACTGTCTTAGTTGTGCAAGGGGTAATGTACTCCGATAGGACCATGGGACCTCTGCGCCCTCTCCCCCTTTGCCATTGTGATATTAATCAAGACTCCACTAACTGGATTTATGTCCGGCAGATGTTGTCCTGCCATGGCAGGGTAGATGTATGGTTCTCAGGGGTTTATCTGGAAGTGAACATGTTGTTAAGGGGACAGAGCTGAAAGTAATTGAGTTTTGAATTTGATTTGAATGAGAACAACCAGAGTACAACGGTGCTCTAACTCGATCACAAAGACCTTCCTGTTTTTGGGTTGCTTTAATTTCTTCCCCCTGTTATCTATTCTGCCTTCAATCTGCCGCTCTGTCCACTAATGATGTCAGCTCTAATCCTGTTGTACAGTTGTAGAATGTGATTGACCCTCCTCCCTCACACCCCACCCCCCCTCTTCCCCAGCACCCCCTGACCTTTGACCCCTGACCTTTTACACTGCCCCTTCTCCGCGACCTCTTGTCTGCACCCCTGTGTCACTCTGCTGCACCCCTGACGTGACACGTCTCACTGACTAATGGTGTGTTTCTCTCTCTCCCTCTCCTCTCTTTTCCTGTGCACTCTATTTCCTGTTACCGTTTATAATTTCTCACACACATTTTTCTTCTCTGGGTTGTGGTTTTGCTTGTGTTTTCCCTACTCACCCCTCCTGCATGGTGTCTACATGTGAACTGCTCTCTTTCTCTCTCTGCGGCGGGGAAACGATGGGTCCCTCACTGTGCAGTCGATCTTCATGTTCCCCCTGTCCTTCTCCTCCTCCTCCTCCTCAATGTCATCCCTCCCTCCCATACTGGACTCTGAGCTGGACGTTCTGTCCGACATCTCGGAGGATGACCCGCTGTCCTGGGGCCAGCTAGACGGGGACGGGGACTACCCTGGTATCTGGGACCCTGATTGCACCCCTCAGCAGCAGCATCCAGACAGCTTGGCTGCAGCAGAGCACTACCATCACCAGCCTCTAGAGGCCTCTCCTCCCCCCTCCCCCCTGGCCTGTACCTCAGAGCCCCAGGAAGGGTCACCTGCCCAGGTCAAGGCTGCGGCTCAATCCAGGCTGGGCTTCTCCCTGCTGGGCATGTTGACGGGCCTGCGCCTGGGCCTCCTGCCCTTCTCTCTGCTGGATGAGGAAGGCTACCTCTGCTTTCCCAGTCTGCCCCAGGACTGTGCTGCCTGCTTGGTCCCCGCGGGGCTGCAGCGCTACCTGCCCCTCTCCTCCCCCTCCCTGGTGCCCTCCTTTATGTTCATCTTGGCTGTGCTGCTGTCTGCCTCCCAGTCCCTGGCTCTGGCCTTCCTCCTGGCCCTGCCCCTGGCCTTGTCGCTGTGCTATCTGGAGCCCAAGGCGCCCGGCCCCGTGGCACACAGACACACACACTTCCCTGCTGCAGGAAGAGCTGTGTGACCCTGCTGCCTAAAGGCCGCTACAATCTTTACGCAAATGCAGCGACGGCGCGTCGTTCTCTATGTAGCTCTATGTACTTGTGTGCGTGTCAAATTTTGGAATGGAACGTGTACGACGCTCCGTTGCTCTGTTTGCGTAGGGTGTGTAGGGCCTTTCAAGTGTCACCATGTCACCACCTCCCTACCTCTCTCACCTCAGCGTGTTCTGCACTCCCTCCCTGTTACGTTTCTCTATCCTGTTCCCTTTCTTCTCCAAACCTTTGATTTCCTTTGATGTCAAATGACCACATTTAATTGTAATCTTTCGCCAATCTCCAGAGATCTTAAATTAGTTCTTATGACAATCATTCATATTGTACCAGTATTGGCTGCTCTGTCATGAATCCTTTTTGTTAAATGAATAAGAGGAAAATGATACCTTGTATACCTTTTTTAGTGTTGTAAAATTATAATTTCCTGTGTCACCGTACGTTTGGCTGTAAATGTTGATAAACAGGTAGATGTGTGTATATATAGATGTACAGTATATATCTGTTATCAAGTTACGTTTGGCCTTTAAGGACGTTATTGCAGTGTTGCACCCCCTGCCCCTGTCCTTTTCAGTGTTATTAGTCGCCATTTAATATGCCAGAGTTTCTCACCATTTTTGAAAACGATAAGAAACCCAAAGTAGAAAATAACAAAAAAACGTAAAATCAGCTCTACTCAGAAAATCGCCCCCGGTCCCATCATGCCTTACTCTCATGTGGCCGGAGCATGGCCGCTCCTCCCTCAGTCACATGACATTGCACCGTTATGTGGTGCTGCTGGGAATCAGCCTTTCCCATCATCCATTTCACCTTCTCATTCTCCCCAACAAAACCATTCCCACTACAAACACCATGCAGGTAGAGGAGGAGCCTAGCGAAGGGGCGGCGGCCACACCTACAGAGGGCACTGAGGTCTGTGAGGGCAGCGGCCATCTTTGCCATCGTACTGCACCTTTAAGATGATCTATAATACCATATATACAGAGAGCTATGGGCAGTGCAGGAGGTGTCAAACTAACGTGTCCTTTTCTCCTTGGCACTCACAGATGAAAGGAGATGAGGCAGACTCCTCCCAACAGGTTGATTGATTTGATGTGTGATTGGTTGTTTGATGGTGTATTTGTCTATAAATCATCTGGGTTTTTCCACATCCTCACTGCTCCTCATTTTGTAGGCTGGGTTTGACTTTTGCGGCAGGAATGTATGCTTTGTATTTGGTTTCTTTCTTTCTGCTGGTGCCACTGTGATCTGAGATGTATTTGGTGTGTTTATTTCAAGGGGGAAAAGGAGTACAACACACTGCTGTCCAACCACACACCACCAAAGCTGCACATAACGCTGTTAGGACATTATTTTGGATTGCCTTAGCTGCAGCGTTCTAAGGGTTAACACCCAAATAAGCTCCACATTGTGAGGACTACGTGTTCTCTATGTCCACATTTTAGTATTAGAGTTGTATTACACAGCTAAGGTGAAGTGTGGTTTGGAGAGGGTCCATTCTGGTCTGCCCTGACCACTACTGGACTTTCAGTGTGCTTGTGGCCCAGTCTCCACAGCCTCTGCTCTGTAGTTCCACTGTCCTTTTTTTTTTTTTACACAAACGCCTCATGTCTACATTTTTTGATTCCACAGAGCGGAAAGTTGAGAGTGCAGGGGGAAAATATATATGTCAGACATAGCAATTTAATGTTGGAGGTTGGTAAGACTATGATATCTATTGGCGCCTAACTAAAGGGAATCAAAGCCCAAGCCTGTGTCCTCTTGGCTCCTGTCCCAGGCTGACTACTCCAGTCTACCTCTTCACTCTCAGGCTCTGTGTGTGTGTGTGTGTGTTTGAACACCAATGCATGAATCTGCATGTGTGACAGGGATGGGGATTGGGTGCATGTCTGACCCAACAGGTTTTGGAGTTTAGTGTGGTGAGGGTGACTGCTGATTACCACCCTAATATTGAGTAGATTTTGTTTTGTGTGTATTTAGTATTTTCCGGTGATATCTGACTAATTTGTTTCCCTAACCCATTTAGGGATATTTCTGCTCTGGTTGGCTTGATTTGAGTTGTGAATTTGTAATGGGGTAATAACCAACTAAACCTACCCAGAGTGCTCTCTAATCTCAGACATTAGCAACGTGGAACTGGCATGGTGCCCTACGCCATGTAATTACCAGAATGGATTTTTACACTATTAAATGACAATAACTAAACCTTTATTATGACCTTCCCTTACTGAGGTCACGATAGGAGAAATTACTTAGAATAGACTCCTGAAGTATAGAAAATGAGAACAGCGTTTCAACTCTTCTGGAGTATGTTGAATGGAAATAAAAAATAGTTAATGTAAATGTATTTAAAGTGAAGCCACACTCCGTGTTGCTTATCACCGTGGCAACAGCGTGTGCCTTATGCCGTGTATAATTGCACACCTGTCGAAATGTGTGACGGCGAGACACGTTTTAAAGCCAAACCCTTGTTCAACGGTGTCGAAGGGAAAATTGGTCCCTCTGGTTGGGTTCCACTGGCAGTTCCACGTTTTGATGTTCATGTGTAGGCTACTACTGAACTAAAGGGTTAAACTCCTAACAAAGCCTCACCTCACTGATGCCTCACTCTCATCACAACCTTTGATCAGTGTGGATGTTTTCTACATCCTCCTCTTCTCTAAAAGGGTTCAAGTTCAAAAACAAGTTCAAATCAGAGTGCTTTTAATTGGATATCGTTATCCATTAATTAGAGTGAGGTCACGATTGGGACTGTGTGTAAATTTTTTCTTAGTCTCACTAATGACAATGAAGAAGCAGTACCCCTACTACCATGTAGATTCTGTTGAGTGATAGCGCCTCCTGGTGGTTCCTAAGGAAATGCACTCATTACTTGAAGCTAGGACTCCTTGGCCAAACTAAGCTTATAATTGTAATATTTATATTCATATTTACGGATCCCATACAAGTTTGTAATTAAGGCACATGAAAGTTCACTTTTTCAAGAAGGCATTTCTGGATAAATAAAATATTTATTTTATTTATTTATTTGGACCTACTGTGAGGCTGGAAATAGCGGCAAACACCTATGATCCTGAATACGGTCACAAATGGTTCACCCATACACACACTAAAACTAGCCATACACGGGCAGTCAGTGAGGCTTGGCGTCCATCCTGTTACTATCATGGTTTCCAGACTAATGTACCTGTTGTCCGTTGTTGTCCCCTCCTCTCCTCACCCCCCACCATGGCTATGTGTGGCATCCTCCTGGCACCGCTAGGACCTGGATAAGACTCAGGAGGATGTTTTGAAACATCAGGCTAGCATTAGCGAGTTAAAGCGCAGTTTTATGGAGGCCACCCCTGAGCCGCGTCCCAGTCAGTGGGAAAAGCGCCTCACAGCCAGCCCGGCTACAAGCCTGCGTCTGCAGGCCCAAGGGGTATGTGTTCAGCCGTGTCCTACTGTCCCTCCTACCGTCAGTCCTCCTGTCCCACCAGCCTGCCTGCATGTCCTCTACTCTCCTCCCTGTCTCCACCTCTCTCTGATCTGTCTCTAGCCTGCTGGGAGGCCCTGGCTCCAACCTCAGTCCCCTGGTTCTGACTCGCTATATGTTTGATTATTATGTGACAGTTGGGATGTAGAAACACCATTCCTCCTCCCTCCCTCTCCTCTTCTCTCTCTTGTCCTAATTCCACTAATTCAGCAATTCCCCCCTCCCGCCACTATCCCGAACAGATGAGTAGAGCACTCTAAGAATAACACCTGTCAGTCCTCTACACGTCACTAGAATACACACCTGCGCTCTCTCTCGCGCTCTCCCACCCTCTCTTTCTCTGTCTCTCTCTCCCTCGCCTCCCTCTGACTGTTAAGTGGATTTAAAGATATTACCCATAATCCCAACTGTCACACAGGGGCCTCTGTGGGCTCCTCTATCTGCCTGTAAATGCTATTCTTTGTCAGCTTCTCTTCTCCCTCAGCCAATGGCTGGCTGAGTTTATCTCATTACTGTACTTCACCCTGTTGCTGTTATGAACGGTCAGCCTCCAATCGGATTAGTTCTCTGGCTGACTGTCCACATCTGAAGCACTGTGATCTCTTGTATTTCTGTTCTGAGCTGTAGATACACATATTATTTGATTGTCATGCTGCGCCACCTAATATTCTTTCGCTATTGTTTTTTTTCTGTGTTCCTCAAGTTTTGCCCTGCCTATGTAATGTTTGATGATACAAAGAGTTGCAATTTTATTTGCACGCTTTTATTGACTTTCTCAGTGCTGTCTAAAGTGTGCTTTTCTTTCTTTGAGCTGCAATTTTCACTGCTGAATTTCACAACTGTGTATTTACTGTCATTCACGTGCACTTGTGCATTGGTGTAACCGCTCCTCCTCCTTTCAGCTGGACAAGCCTCACTTTTGAGTTCCTACTTCAAGTGTCTCCTCTTGTGATTTCCCCCCTGTGTTTCCTACTTATGTTTGGCTGTGTTGAGTGATGTACTGCATGCCTGCCTCTCACTCGTCCCTCTCGTCACTCTCTCTACACCCAACAAGCAGGTGATAGTGTTCACACACAGGCCTCGGGCCTGGTGCTGGACCTGTGTGATAAACAGAGTGTGTGTGGTATGTCTGTGTGTTACCGACGTGCTGCCTCATTCCTAGAACACACACCTCCACCATCCCCGTCTCAAAACTGCACTGAATCACTCTGCTCACTCACTCAGCCACTGGATAGTTTTAAGGGCTCTTCTGTTGTGTTTCACTGTTTGTATAGACTAGCTTGTGAAAGTGACTACTCCTCTTCTCTCCAGTAATGTCTGTCCTTCCTCTAATTCTGACATCTTTGCTTTGTCATTCTCTAACCTGTGTAGAGCTTGGAAGAGGAAATGACCTCCATTTTATTCAGTAAATTTGCCTGCGAGTCTGGTCTGGTTGATCCCGGCTGCACTACCACTAGGCAAGCAGCAGAGGGCGCTGTAGTCACTGCCTCTGGCCGTATGGCCTCAGCTCCACTCACTGCCGAGGTCGTCCTCAATACAGATGAATCAAAACCAACAAAACATCAGGTCGCTACCCATGCGACAACTAATGTATTGTCGCATGGTGCATCTCTTTAACTCTGCCACACCAAGTTCATGACCAGTCCAGACTACCACACACAATCAAAGTAGTATACACCTATTATGGTGACTAGATGTGTTGTTGGCTTGGCAGTGCACAATATGATGCAATTATAAGTATTTGCAGATGACCTACTCATTTTTGCACACACGCTGTAAGAGATTATAGAGCAAACCAGGCTGGCCATAAACTTTGGCATGAATATTTTCTTGTCATTTCATACGCTTCTGTCGATTGCCATTTCTTTCTCTGAATGCTCATGTTCTGTCTCCTTTGAGTGGTCTGTGTTACTAAATCTGTTTATATGCTATAGAACTGTTAAAGGTTCCCTTCCTACAGATGGGTAATGAGGTGGTAATGTTTGTGCATGTCAGAGAGACATCTCTCCCTCCTCCTAACCCGGGGAACCTGTACAGTGCTATGGTAACCGTAGAGATTCCTGATGTCATGCTGATGTGTGTGAGTGACCGCTGCCTGTTGGTTGCCTTTACGTTCCACAGAGAAGCCCCCTACCCAGAACCCAGGAGCCTCTCCCTGACCTCACGGTGGACACGGTCGCCAAGGTGGTCCCCCCATCTAACACCGCCTCCGCCCCTCCTCCATCCCCCACCCCACACATACACTTAACCTCCAGCTCATCTCTCCTTTTTCATTTCAGCCATTTCTTCTTCCAGCCATCCATCCATCTCTCTATTTCTCTCTCCTTTTTCTGGTTACCATCCCTCCTTATGTTTGTTGCGTTGCCTTTTTTCAGTTGGTGGTGTTCTTTGTTGGGTTGTGTGGTCATCTTTTACGTTTCTGTTGTTCTCTCTCCATCCCGTTTGTTGTTTTTGTTCTCTGGTGTAGAGCGCAGATGACAAACCGAAATCCGGCGAGGCGGCGTGGCAGGCAGCAGAGGTTGAGATAGAAGAGACTGTAGTCGTCGAGGAGATCAGGGTGGCCCCCAAAGGCTCCGTCACCGTCACCACCCACGAGGTGGTCACCCCCGTTGCCATGGAGACGGAGGTCGAGAAGCCCAAAGAGGAAGGGATAGAGGAAGTTAAGGAGAAGGTTAAGGAGGAGCAGAAGAGGCCTGTGAGCGTGTCCTCGGACAGCCACAGTGAGAGCGAGGAGGAGGATGTGGGGGAGTACCACCCCCAGGTCACCGTCAGCGCCTCAGTGGACCAGATCAAAGAAGAGCCCGAGGAGGAGGAGGAACAGAAAGTCAATGAAGAACCAGAGCCAGTTACAGAACCAGAACCACTCCCAGAGCAAGTGGTTAAAGTAGAGGTCGAGGTAGAGGCCCAGCCTGCCCCTGCAGTAGTGGAAGAAACCTCAGTGGCAGAACCACAACCAGCCCCTGTGGCGGAGGAGAGCACCGAGGACATCCTGGTCAGCCCTTACGAGGCCCCTAACGGGCACGCCGAGGCCCATGAGGGCCATCCCGGCCTCGTGGCCCTGGAAGAGGAGGAGGAGGAAGAGGAGCCCAGAGTCAACGGGGACGCGTCTCACTCAGAGACAGAGCGCCTCCCCCAGGTTATTTGTTGCTCTGAGGTAAATGAATGGCTGCCGTCTCCCAGACCTGCGTAGTGCAGAGCACGGCCCACCGCCTAGCCTACTGCTACATACTACGCACTTCTGACCTCCACCACCCACCTACCTCCCTCCTACCTACTTACTACATACCTAGCTGCCTACCTACCTTCATATTGTACCTGCACGCCTGCTGATTCTCTACGCTGTCTGTCCGTGCTTCTGTCGCTCAGCACCTGAGCGTCACAGCAATGGAACGCTGAAGGCCTTTCACCTGCACAGCGGTCGCTTGGGCTAATTTTCGCTAAAGGAAGTTAAATGATAAGTGATAATCGTAAGAAGTAATGGCTAATATCCCCCAGCAGCACCTTCAGTTGTGGATCTGTGCCAAAGCGCTGCCCTCCTCTACTGTCGATCTGTCCCCCAGACTACTTCACTGTAATCATCACCACCTCTCAGTCCACCACGTTTCTGTTGGTGTTTTATTTTACTCTGTGTGTCGGCCCTGGTCCCTGTGTTTGTGAACGCACTGGCAGAGATGGCGCTGAGAATTGCGTGGGAGTGGAGGCGTTGTTGTTGTGCAATGCATGGCACCTGTGTGTGTGTGTGTGTGTGTGTGTGTTTGCTACAGCATGTGAAGTGTGTGTCCCCTTCCCTGTATTGGGTCTTTATTTGGCTAAGTTCTTGGTTGAGATGAGTCATTGCCTGGTCACTGGCATTAATTGGGTTTCGTCTCCGCCGTGACTGTCTTCAAGGACTCGTCCTCCCAAGCACTTACTTAAATGTCACGCCGTTCATTTGTGGGAACGTCAATGCATGTCTGTACCGTGCTGTTGGTCGCCTGTGGCAAAGATCAAAGCAAAAATGCATTGTACCGTTACATCAAAGTTACAAAAACCTCTATTATTTGCTTCATTTGCTTATTTTTTTGCTTTTTCAGTTGGTAATTTAGCTTGCATGCGCATGGTTGCATGGTTACGCCAAAGAGATTGTAGTTTATACTTATGTGCATTTTTGTAATGTTCATTTGCAGCTCGTGCATGAGTTCTGTTCCTACTGCTTTAGAGGTTGTGCTGTGTTTGCCTTGCCCTTGGTAAATGTGAAGTGTGTGTGTGTGTGTCTGTCCTGACTCTCTCCCCCTGCCCCCCAGCCTCCTGTGGTGAAGACCGAGATGGTGACCATCTCAGACACGTTTGCGGCCCAGAAGACTGAGATTGCCACTAAGGAGGTTCCCATCGTGCACACAGAGACCAAGACCATCACGTACGAGGCTGCCCAGGTAGGACCACTCCTCAGATGGCCCACTACCACTAAATAGATAGTGTTCAGACTGGCGATATGATGCTCTAATCGGCTCGTTGTGTGTTCTCCAGCTGGACGGCAGTGGAGACGGCGAACCAGGCGTTCTCATGACAGCCCAAACCATTACCTCTGAGTCACTGTGCACCACCACCACCACACACATCACCAAGGTAACTACATGTCACCGCACACGTCACCGTGGTAGCCACACACATCAAAAAGGGAACCACACACTTTACCATGGGAACCACACACTTCACCATGGCAACCACACGTTGCCATGGTAACCTCAAAGCCACATCCATCACCAAGGTAACAGCCCAGCTCTCCCTGGTCCATTGTGTAAATGCCATGGTATGTAGTTTGTGGGCTCTGGCAGGGAGGACTGGATTCCCATCTGGCAGCATTATTCTGTGTAATCTGTGTGCAAATGAAGAGCAGCCTGCTCTGTAGTCTGTTGTGTTGATGCTTGGGGCTGTGACTGGCACCTACCCAGCCCAGGCAGAATTCCTCTGTTGTGACTTGGTGCAGACTCATAGATGCCAAACCCCAGCCCAAGTTTGTGTGCCGCACCTGGCATCAATAGACACCAAACAGCAGTGGACAGTGCTCTGGTTTTCCTCTACTCCCTTGCTGGCGGGCACCAAATTCATTTATACACATAGCTGGGGTTGTTTTCTCTTTTAAATACTCCTCCATTGGAGCAAGGAGATACTCTTGATACAGTACTTCTAAGGATCGCATATTTTAATTTCATGAAATTCGGCTCAGTGCATAATGGAAGCCTCCTCTGGATCAGCTCCTAGATAGATATTATCACCTATGGCTGCAAATATTGAGGCAGCTTATTCTAATGCTTAGGCTATCCTCTGTATTAAATCGAATATTGGCCATATCATTGTGCATGTTAGGCCTACACATCATGAAATTGAGAAAATTACAGACCGTAGCCTACAATTAGCTAAATAGAACTCAATTGATTGAACATGAAATGTATTTCAATATTATTGAAATATATTGGCCTTATGTAGCCTATGCTGTATTTATCTTTTAATGCAGTCATCTCAGTTTTAATTTGAAGCATTTTTACCCTTTGCTGGTTGTAACAATTGCAAAGACTTTGGCAACTTCATATTTGTAGTAAACTTTGTTCTGAAGTTATCAGCGGTTACAGATAAACATCTTGATTATATGTTTAGAAGAGCTCTTCTGTGTATAAAGACGTGGAAGGGCAAAAAAGCATCTAATGACGCACTTAGCTGTTCTGGTTTGAGGCAGCCGGTAAATAACAAGCATTTTCAAGTGCAACTTTAGTAACAATGGTTTTGGGAAACAGCTCTGAGATTAAACAATGCTCCTACGATGGGTTCTAACGATGAACTTGGCCTTAAGATGCTTTTGGGAAACCGGGGACCTGGAGGATTTGTTGTTTTACTAATACAGTATGTCTGTGTACTTATCCTGAACATTTGGCTGTTTGCAGACATTAAAAGGTGGTCTCTCAGAAACCAGGATCGAGAAGCGCATTGTCATCACCGGAGACTCAGACATCGACCACGATCAGGTGAGCGTCAAGTCAGTCACACCAATCAGACACGTCCTCTGGTGGGAACCAATTACACAGTGTACCACAGCAGCTTGTATTACTGAATGGAAGATGTCGGCTTATTACATTTCTGTCCAAGATTTTCCATATAGTGAACATTTATACTTATGGAAATATGAGAATGTACCATACTACCAACTGAGGTCAACCACTCATAATATGTGCAGTTCAGTTATGTGGTATATCTGAGAGAATATATTATTGACAATTTTAGCAAGAATGAGAATTCAATGTGGTGGCCCAGTATCTCTGGTGTCTGCTCCTTTTAGACTAGAAATGGCAATAAGGACTTAAGTGTTTTCAGTCATTGTCTCAGCTGAAAGAGATGCATCGATCCCTGTGAAAAGACCTCGCTCTCTGATTTATAGTGTCAAGAGTCTTATACCTCCATATGAGAGTTCATCTGGTCATTAAACTAAAGAGTACAGCAGACAGATACACTCCACGCAAAGAGGTCCCTGTTGAACTCACAAATATTCACAACAACATATGTTTCCACATTAGAAGTTCATCCCAAACCCCAAAGGGACAAGCACGGGCAGACGTCCAAGCCGCACTTTCCATGTGAATGTCCCTCTCCCTCCTCCCATCCTTTGTCTTCATTTTATGTTTTGCCGTTTTTTGTTGTCGCCGCTGCTTTTCTCATCTGTATCCATAGCGCCTCCATTTTGTTAGTTTTCTGTTCCTTTGTTCTCCTTTATTTCCGTTAATGCCATCGTCTCCCTTTCCTTTTGGGTGTGTTGTTGCCGGGGGCCACCCCGGGTAGGCCTTGGCCCAGGCTATAAAGGAAGCCAAAGAGCAGCACCCTGACATGTCAGTGACACGGGTGGTGGTCCACAAAGAGACAGAGCTGGCAGAGGAGGGCGAGGACTGAGGCACCAGGTAAGGAACAGAAGCCACCAGGAGGCTCAGGGGTGTGGTGATTAGGGGGTTTAGGGTGAAGTGGTAAAGGATCGTCCCTCTCTGCTGCGAGTCTACGGTGGCCCTTCTAGCCCAAACCGACAGCACATCACATGCATCAGCCGGATATAAGTCCCCCACAGGGTGGAACTAACTGTCTCCTTGTCTTTTTCTTTGAGTTCTCCATCTTTTCTCTTAACTCCCCGTTTGCGCTCAGTCTGTACTTATGACTGAGCTATTTTGAGATGAATCGTAAAGTTCATACAAAATGTCAGCAAACCAAACTGCTGCAGATGTATCACTTTTTCTGGTCAAAATGTTTTGATTTACTGGCTACACTAACCTCGTGACATCACTGTCTGTATTCTAACATGTACAGTGTTGGCAGACTGTGGCAGCACACTCCCCACCAGACAGATGACACCTCATACACACCGGAAGAGCAGATTAATGACAATGCTAATTAACTGGTGTACTGGAGGAGAAGAGAAAACAAATATTCCCTGTAGGTTGTTAGCTTGAAAGCACTTCACAATAGCTATTTTATCAGTTACTCGACCTTGTCAGCCTTTGGCGTTGGAACCATTCCAATCCATTGAAATCTCATAAAGCTTGGTTCAAGCCCAGAGAATTGTCTTGAATACACCTCAATCACCTCAGTCGTAAAGCAGTATCTATGGGCCCATCAAATAGGAGCAAGAAATGGATTCACACAGGAGGATCAAATGTACCCACAGCAAGGCAGAGGCTTTGAGCCAATTGTTAATTACAGTCAATTCGGGGGTGCTGGGTGGATACTATGGCTTCATTACTATGGTATTACTCTGAACAAACTAGCAAGGGGTGTGAATACTCTGCCTCCACCCTGTCCATATAGTGGTATGTCCATGGGTCGTTTGGCGAGCTCAGACCGTCATGGCAGTGGTCCGATGCACAGGAACCTTTACATTACAGTTTACATTTATTTCCACCATTTCCATTTCAGAGGAGGACCAGATAGAGACCTCCAGCCAGAGCCAGCCCTTCCCGCTTGTTAGCTCTGTCATCCTCTCCAGTTCTGCTGAATTTGGGGGAAAATAAGCATGACTGCAGCGGCTGCTGAGAATAGAATGGCGCTTTGATTGGTGTAGCAGCGTGTGTACCCTTCAGTGAGAATGCTGTGGCAGCTCTTGTCAGATCATCAAGTGCTTTTGTCTTTTCTACCTACAGTGCCTTCAGAAAGTATTCACACCCCTTGTCTTTGTGTTACAAAGTGGGATTAAAATGGATTTGTCCTTTTTTGTCAACTATTTACACAATACTCTGTCGAAGAAAAATTCTAACATTTGTAAAAAATAAAAATATGTCAAAAAAATTAATAATATCTTGATTAGATAAGTATTCAACCCCCTGAGTCAATACATGTTAGAATCACCTTTGGCAGCGATTACAGATGTGTCTCTAAGAGCTTTGCACACTTGAATTGTGGAACATTTGCCCAGTATTCTTTTCAAAATTCTTCAAGCTCTGACAAATTGGTTGTTGATCATTGCTAGACAACAATTTTCAGGTATTGCCATAGATTTTCACGCAGATTTAAGTCAAAACTTTAACTCAGCCACTCAGGAACATTCACTGTCTTCTTGGTAAGCAACTCCAGTGTAGATTTGGCCTTGTGTTTTAGTTTATTGTCCTGCTGAAAGGTGAATTCATCTCCCAGTGTCTGGTGGAAAGCAGACTAAACCAGGTTTTCCTGTAGGATTTTGCCTGTGCTTAGCTCCATTCCGTTTCTTTTTTATCCTGAAAAACTCCCCAGTCCTTAACGATTACAAGCATACCCATAAAATAATGCAGCCACCACTATGCTTGAAAATATTCAGTGGTACTCAGTAATGTGTTATATTGGATTTGCCCTAAACATAACACTTTGTATTCAGCACAAAAAGTGTATTGCTTTGCAGTATTCCTTTAGTGCCTTGTTGCAAACAGGATGCATGTTTTGGAGTATTTTTATTCTGTACAGGCTCCCTTCTTTTCACTCTTGTCAAATAGGTTAGTATTGTGGAGTAACTACAATGTTGTTGATCCATCCTCAGTTTTCTCCTATCACAGCCATTAAACTCTGTATCTGTTTTGAAGTCACCATTTGGCTTCATGGTGAAATCCCTGAGCAGTTTCCTTCCTCTCCGGCAACTGAGTTAGGAAGGACGCCTGTATCTTTGTAGTGACTGGGTGTATTGATACAACATCCAAAGTGTAATTAATAACTTCACCATCCTCAAAGGCATATTTAATGTCTGCTTTTTGTATTTTTACTCCTCTACCAATTGGTGCCCTCCTTTGTGAGGCATTGGAAAATCTTTGTGGTTTAATCTGTGCTTGAAATTCAGTGCTCGACTGATGGACCTTACAGATAATTGTATGTGTGGGGTATAGAGATGAGGTAGTCATTCAAAAATCATGTTAAACACTATTTTTGTGTACAGATTGAGTCCATGCAATTTATGTGACATGTTTAGCAAATTTCTACTCCTGAACTTATTTAAGCTTGCCATAACAAAGGGGTTGAATACCTATTGACTCAAGACCATTCAGCAAAAACATAATTCCACTTTGACATTATGGGGTATTGTGTGTAGGCCAGCGACAAAAAAATCTCAATTGAATCCATTTTAAATTCAAGCTGTAACACAACAAACTGTGGAAAAAGTCAAAGGGTGTGAATACTTTCTGAAGGCACTGTACCTGGCAGGACATGAGAGATGCCTCGCTCATCAAAATACTTTGAAGCAGGCGCTGGAGTACTACCTGGTTTTGGGTTTGCCTTAAGGACATGGTGTCTTTTAATCCCAGTAGGCTAGTATCGAATGAGAATCCAATTTCTGCTGTTTTAGCTCAAGGCGACTCAGCCACTTTTGCCGAAGCAGATTAACGCTTCCTAATTAAATTAGAATAGTTAAAAATAGCAGATATGATCAACTGTATAATACACTGTTAATCAGTGCAAGGCAGTTGCATTACCATACCAACTTATTTTAGGTGATTTCAATTAAAGCTCCAGACACTTGGTATTTGGACCTTATCTGTACAATTACTCCAGTTGGTGGTACTCGACACTCCTTCATGTTGAATTGAATATTCCATCCTTCTATTCTTTCTCTTTCGCAGAGCTGAAGAGCCTGTGAAGTTCATACTTGGATGTTTGAGAAACTCCTGTCATCTCCCAAACCGAGAGTCAACCTGGTGGGAAGACTACGTCGGACAACACCGAGGCTGAACTCCTGTGTGTTTCATCGCACACCTTCCTTTTTTATCACTCAGAAGAGAACCACTTAGCTAACATTTGTAGCGTGTTTAAATTGTTTTGTGCTTTTTGCAAAAATAAGAAAAAAATCTGCCATTATTAGAACCAGATAGAATGTATCATGTGATCATTTTTATTGTTGAGTAGTATTCACATTCCTAGTATGTACAGACAGGTAATGTTATGAAAAAGTCATTTCAATATCTATCTTCCTGTATTCATGCAGTTGCAGGTGGACAGGTATTAAGACTAAGTGGGTATATTAGCCTTGGACCTGGTCTTGTTCCATGTTGTCTTTAGAGTCAAATGTTTATCTGTTTTTGGGGGAAAAGGAAGAACAGCAAATTGTATTTAATTGGGTGAGTTTCCAAGGGACTAACAAAGGACGAAGCACTGTGTCATTTTGTACATTGCACTACAGTGCCAACACGTTTTCTTCTCTATGCAGTCAAAACAAAAACATTCCATTAAAGGGCAGGTGCTTTTCCTCTACCTCCCTCAGAAAACAAAATTAAATTTAAAAAAAATCTACAAAAAATCATGAAACATTAGGCAGCTTGGAAACTTTAGCTTTTCCATAACTTTTTGGCATCATTCATCAGAAATATATTTGTAGAAACTTATATTTTTTGCTATCTTTTAAAGTTTTTTGTCAATCTGTAAACTGATTTAGATGTTGATGAGGTGGGTTTGTTTGCCCCTTTTAAATATTTTTAATATATTTCAGAGGTTTTTTGACAACTAAAAGAAACACAAAATTGCCACTATTTGTATCTTTTACCTGTAGATAAAGGAGATCGCTGCCCTTAGCACTCTCTGCAATCTGACCAACCTCACCAAACCCAATGATGGTATCAATTTGCTCTTTGGACCCAGTGTATAGCAGATAATCTTAGATTTTTAGCAGCTTTAAAATGTTGTCTCCACCACAGCCACCCCAAACTCTGTGTAACACTGTTGAAATAAAAGTTTGTTATTCTCTGATTGGATGACTTTGGTTCCTTTTTACCAGTGTTAGGGAGTAGTGAACTACATGTAGTTCAACTAGTAATTTAACTACATTTTGCAGTAGCTTGGTGGTACTTGAACTAAATTCAAATCTAGTTAGTGTTTTCAGTAGTTAATTACTTTTTTTGCAATGTAGTTGATGTAGCTAACTACTGGAACTACACAAATATGCACTGTAAAAAATGAAAAGTAGTTTTTACAGTAACTTACTGGCAACCTGTAAGTTACTGTGAGAAAAAAAGGAACAGTGTTACTGTACTGTATTTTATGGTATCCAATACTGTTACTGTAATGTAAAGCCTCTCTTACTCTGACTGTAAAGCCTTATTTGCAAATTTCCCAGAGTGCCTTGCCTTTCGAATGAATTGTAGAGTTACCACCCATGACTGTATTTGTTTAGTGACAGTGACATGGTTGTTGCATTCAATGTTCAGTCCTTTGGCCTTCACCAAGTGAGATCCTAAGCGAGTATGTTATCACTAAAATTACATTCTTTAACACAATACAGTGGAAGTCTATGGGTATCTGCTAGCATGCAGCAACTTCCTTCAAACTGCACGCAGAGACATGAAAATGGTATCCACGAGTTCATCTGACTCTGGGGAAGTAGATAAAGGGCCTCATTGCATCATTTGTTGACTTCTGTAACCGTAAAAGCCTTGGTTTCTTGCACGTTAACATCA